GTTTATACTGTCTTCAATGTTTTACTTTTGTTGATAATCTGTAAGATATCTGTGTTCCCTATTCTATAATCACTGTTTCTTTCCAATATAAATATGACTTGGTAAAGTTGGACAATGATTATTCATGTACAATAATTTCAATAAAATATAACCACTTGGATCTTGACTAATGCACCATTGGCTTTGGTTCAATGATGATTAATCAAATCATATATATTACTCACTTGTAGTTGGTCATTAAAACCTATATCTCTTATCAACTTTCAGGCAGAAATTCAACTTAATTTCCAGAAAAGAAGGGGTCATGGCATGTTATCTGTGCTTCGGCCAAAATTCAGTGGTTTACTTGGTGAAGCCCTTGATTTGGCTGCTAGGTGGAGTGGTGACGTTGTAAGTATCATAACTGAAGTTTCTGTATCATCAATCTCTTTTTCTTGGTTAATCGTTTAGTGATGTGGCTGCTTGAAGGTGTGCTGATTATGGGAGTAGTCTTAGGCTCTTAGCTTAGGTCTCTGTATCCTCAATATGTCCTTTTTTTTGGTTTGTTAGTTGGGAAATACTGAATGATTATCATAAGTTCCTCATCTAAATAACTTTAGTTTTTTAGTTTATGTAACTACTTTTAGTAGTTATAATCTGTTGCCTGAGAGGAGCTTTATTCCTCTGATATTTTTACATCACCCTAAATATTCAAGTTGAAGTGAGCATTTTCTAATAATTCTCTTAGATATTTATACATCATGTTTGCCTTTTTCTTTCATTGAGTAGCGTTTTGCACAGAAATGTAGTCTTCCACCATTAGCATCTAGTTCTAAAGTAGGTTGGATTGCTAGAAAAAGTAAATTAAATTGATGATTTTGTAGCAGACTATTTTTATAAAAATAGTTAGCTATCTTGTAACTGGTGAGCTTGAGAATAAAATCTCCAGTATTCTCTTTGGTTATGCCTATTGTTTTCATCCTTCTTAATGTTCAGTTTTGCAATGTACTGCTACCTTCTATTTTAATGATAAATTTATTAGGATTGCAATTCATCTCTCTATATTATGAGTGATGTGGTTGGTTTTCCTGGTTATCATAATTTTTTGTAGATCACTCTAGAAAAAGCTATTTTGGAACAAATAAATAGCCATTATGAGCTTCAAGGTGAATATGTGTTGCCTGGCACCAGAGATCGTAAACTTGCTGGGAAGGGAAGAGGGGATGGTTTGTTCAAAAGAGCAATGACTGGGCATCTTGGTAGTGTCATATCTTCTATGGGAAGGTGGAGAATGAGACTTGAAGTTCCAAGAGCTGAGGTTGCTGAGATGCTTCCACTTGCAAGACTCCTATCTCGAAGCACTGATCCAGCTGTTCGATCTAGATCAAAGGTTATGTTCTTTTTCATGCTGGAAGCCTAGAACAGATATAAATGTTAACAACGATGTTTAAGAAGCTTGAATGCATATGGCTACTTAGAATTTAGAAGTGAGTATCGTTATCAAATATCTGGAGTTGTTAACAGGAAGCATTCTACCAGTAGATGTTAAGGTTTTCCTTGTCATGATTCTGTTACTGCTTGTCCTGGCAACTTTTCCTAATTCCTGCAGAAAATTAGGAATAGAACATCACTGAATGGTTTTACTTAAAACATGTCGAGTTAAGCTTGTTATGCTATTCTTCAATTGGTTGACATTGTGATTGCATGTATAGTGACAGCAGAAAGCTGCTTTGCTTATTTCTGATTTAAGTGTTTAATGCAAGCTTAGTTATATTGGGAGTTCCTAATAATTGATGACGGCAGATCATATAGCTCTAGTGACAGAAGAAGGTCCCTTATTCTTGAAGCTAGCTAATTGTTATACTGGTTTTTTTTTTTTTTTTTTTTTTATTTTTTTATTTTGGGGTCAAAATTCATTAAAATTAATATGAAATCTCAATGGGTTTTTTCCTAATAACAATTTCTAACATAACCATTGTTTCTGTGTGCTTGCTGAGGTAAGATATGTAAAATAAGTGTCCCTTTTCTTTTACACATAGAAAGAGGAAAGTGTCAAGAAAAAAATAGAGGGCATTGAAGTTTCCTCTTTCTAACAAATGTTGTTCACTTTCCAGCATTACATGCTCTATCTTTTTTGCTTTAAGTTGGAAATCTCTATATTGTGTAATACTTTTTGATTCTTATGCAGGATCTTTTCATTCAAAGTTTGCAATCAGTGGGGTTATGTGCTGAGAATCTACAAGACTTGCTTGAGGTAATTGGTTGAATAATCTTTACCTAAAATCTGGAATTTGAATTGGTTGTTGCTTTTAACTCATTCTTCCTGAACCAGAATCGAAAGCATATTCTGCTTTCTTTCCAGTAATTTGAATAACATCACATAGAAGACCTTCCAAAATTCAATTCTAGTGTTTTTTTAATATACTTTTATGTTCTACCTATTGTTTAAATTCTCAGGTAATACAAGGCCATTACGCTCCCTCAAATGAAGTTATTCTTGAAGACGTAAGTCTTCCAGGTTTAGCTGAACTTAAGGGCCGCTGGCGTGGTTCTCTTGATGCAAGTGGTGGAGGCAATGGCGACACAATAGTATGCATTTCTCAAACTTCTCATTGGATTAATAAGTTTAGAAAACCATGTTTTTCAATGGTGAAATACTCTTGGAAATAATAACATCATTCTACAAATAATGGTATGTACAAAATGAACAAGAGCTTAACGGAGTTGGTATCCACTAATTTCAAAGAAACCCTTGATTTTGGGGTCACTATCTGGGGTTCAAATCCCTGCAGTAGTAGCTAAGCATTAACTTCCTTACTAGATTTTCAGGAGCAGAAATTATTTTGTTTGAACCCATGAGGTTGTTTACTTATTTTTTTCAGAGAGTAAAAGTTTCTGGTTGTTAATTTTGTGAAATTATTTTGTTGATGTATCTCTAACGGGAAAACCAAATTTTGTGTTGTTTAGATATATTATGTTTGAAATTGCATGCCTGAGGCACAAATTCCTCAAGGGTGCTTATACCATCCCAAGGGAGCCAGCATCACAAAGGCACGTCATTTGTGTGCCTCTAGCCTATTCTAAAGGCACACCTAGGGATGCTTTTGTTACTCTTTATTTCTTTTCTTAAAGATTTTTAAAATGTTATGTAAAAATTAATTCTGCCCATCTGAGGACATGGTGTTTCTTAGACATGCTCACACCTGAATAACTCTTATTTAAAGAGAGAGAAAAAAAAATTACGAACAGAAGAAAATAGATCAAAGATTAATTCAATTCAAACCTAGGACAAAGAAGACTAGTTGAATTGCATTAAGAACTAAAATTTAATTCAAACCTAGGAGGGTGGGACAAAGGAAACTAGTTAAACTGTTAAAGTGCATTAAGGTTTAAAATTCAACTCCTATTTGCAAGTTCATCTTAGTATAAAGTTTGGTCCTCATAACTGGCATATTTGTTAAGAGTCCTTCTGTAAAGGGCGTGCATAAAATCTGTCAGAAACAAAAACCAATGTGGTTTGTTTGATTGTATTGGAGAGTTAGATGTTTGAGTTATTAAATTCTTGAGGATCCCCAAGCCTCTTCTTTGACATCTTTTGTTTTAAATCTTGTTTCCCTACTTACATCGGGGAAATGCTCTCTAACAATTTCATTTATTTGGAAAGTTTGTCATATTATTATGATAAATTATTAAAATTTCTTTGTAAATATGGCATTTCTCCTCTTTTGTTTAACTATTTCTTGCATACATTTGTCAGGCAGATTTTGACTTTCATGGAGAGGACTGGGAGTGGGGAAGCTACAAGACTCAACGTGTTCTGGCAGTAGGTGCATACAGCAATGATGATGGTTTGCACCTTGAGAAAATTTTTATCCAAAAGGATGATGCAACAATCCATGCTGATGGCACCTTGTTGGGGTCAAAAACCAATCTTCATTTTGCTGTTCTGAATTTCCCTGTTAGCCTGGTCCCTACTTTGGTTCAGGTCATTGAATCCTCTGCTAATGAGGCTGTCCATTCTTTGCGACAGTTATTAGCACCAATTAGGGGTATATTGTACATGGAAGGAGATCTTAGAGGAAGTCTTGCAAAACCAGAATGTGATGTGCAAGTTCGCCTTCTAGATGGTGCCGTAGGGGGTATTGTTCTTGGCCGAGCTGAAATTGTTGCTTCCTTAACCTCAAGCAGCCGTTTTCTTTTCAATGCCAAATTTGAACCATTTGTCCAAAATGGCCATGTACACATACAAGGAAGTGTTCCTGTCATTTTTGTCCAAAATAACATTTATGAGGAAGAAGATACGGAAATAGATAAAAATGGTGCAGCTTGGGTCCCTGGTTGGGCAAAGGAAAAAGGTAAAGGTTCAGATGATGAAGCCAGTGAAAAGAAAACTTTTAGAGAGAGAACTGAAGAAGGTTGGAACACTCAGCTAGCAGAAAGCCTTAAAGGTTTAAACTGGAACATCTTAGATGTAGGAGAAGTGAGAATTGATGCTGATATCAAGGATGGTGGTATGATGTTGTTGACAGCTTTATCTCCTTATGCAAACTGGCTTCATGGCAATGCTGATATCATGCTTCAGGTGGACTAATTCAGGATAGACTATTTGTTGTGGATTTGCTTAATATTTATATTTAAATAATAGCAACAACAATTATGTTGAAATCAATTCCATTGTGGAGTTAAATTTCCTTTCATGTGACATGTGGTATATGCTTTAAATAAACAGGTCCGAGGAACAGTTGAGCAGCCTGTGCTTGATGGATCTGCATCATTTCACCGAGCATCTATATACTCACCAGTACTCCCAAAACCACTTACCAATGTTGGTGGAACTGTACATGTGAAATCAAATAAGTTGTGTGTCACTTCATTGGAAAGCAGAGTAAGCAGAAGGGGAAAGCTGTTTATAAAAGGCAATCTGCCCCTTAGAAGAAGTGAAGCATCACTAGGTGATAAGATTGACTTGAAATGTGAAGGTTTGGAAGTACGGGCAAAGAACATTCTAAGGTACTTTACCTCTACAACTTAACATTAGGATCTCAAATAAATTTGTCTCAAAGCCTGAATATCTGTCATCAGTAATCAGTTAGAAGTTAGAACTGTTATTTGTGTTTTAGTTCATAATATATGTTTCCATACTGATTATTCTCACTTTTTCCCTGTCTTCTTCCAAGGCTCTAACTCCTTTTTGATTGCTCTGAGTGCATCTTTCTTTTGTTGGCATTCACATTGATTTTACGTGCTTTGCACTAACATTGAACCTGACATCTTTCTAAAATCAGTGGTCAGGTTGACACTCAGATTCAGATAACTGGTTCCATATTGCAGCCAAACATTTCTGGAAATATAAAATTAAGCCATGGGGAAGCATATCTGCCACATGATAAGGGTAGTGGAGTTGCTCCTTTTAATAGACTTGCACCAAATCAGCCCAGGGTTCCAGGTGCTGGTGTCAAGCGGGCAGTTGCTTCTAGATATGTTTCAAGGTTTTTCAGTTCAGAACCTGCTACTTCAAGGACTGAACTTCCTCAACCCTCTGGTAATATATGTTTTTCTTAGGTTCTAGATCTTTTCTCTTCTTTCTCTCTGATCAGGTGGTGGGTACCTAAATATAAATCATAATTGGCTTCCATATACAACTGGAACATGGTTTGAAATTTTAAACATTTTTCAGACACTTTAAGAATGGTTTTTTCCCTGAAAGTGGCTGGATCAGGTTTAAATGGTAACTTTGAAGTGGAAGTATTCTCCAGTAATGAAAATACAGTTCTTTTTTAGAAAGCCTTTTTTTTTTCACCAAATTTCATGACCATGTTGCTTGGGTTGTGATTCCAGTCAAATCAGCTGAAGTTGAGAAGGAAATGGAGCAAGTCAACATTAAACCAAGTGTAGATATCCGTCTTAGTGATTTGAAGCTTGTTTTAGGACCAGAGTTGAGGATAGTTTATCCTTTGATACTTAACTTTGCTGTTAGTGGGGAGCTTGAGTTGAATGGGCCAGCGCATCCCAAATCAATTAAACCTAAAGGCATTTTAACATTTGAGAATGGTGATGTGAATCTAGTTGCAACTCAGGTAAATCTTCTGCTTTTCTATGTTTTATATTGGGTTAAATGTCTTTCTCTAGTGGTCCCTTTCTCTGATTTCTCACAACTAGTTTGTGGGTTTCACTGAAATAATACCAATTTTGCTGAATTCAGGTTAGGCTTAAGCGTGAGCACCTAAACATAGCAAAATTTGAGCCTGAGCATGGGTTAGATCCATTGCTAGACTTAGCATTGGTGGGGTCAGAATGGCAATTTAGGATTCAAAGTAGAGCCAGCAACTGGCAGGACAAATTGGTAGTGACCTCAACACGTTCTGTGGAACAGGATGGCCTCTCACCTACTGAGGTAATATAAGATGCTTTGCTATGTGTCATTTTCAGTTGCTTTGCTATGTGTCATTTTCAGTTTCCTTCTACTATGCCTGTAATGATTGAATCAATTTGAAATAGAAGCTGTAAAACAACACTTATACATCTTTCCTGCTGTGTTACTGAAGTAATAAATTATGACTTGAGTCCTAGGTGTCATTACACTTTTAACCTGATAAAATATTTTGTGTGTTAAGGTTTTGCCTTGTGGAATTTGTTTAATGAATTAAATTTTCACAAAAAGATCGAGAAGGTGAAAGATTGTCTTCAATCATCTAGAATCTGTAATTTTCTGCTTCATGGATACTAAAAGAATTGATATTTTATAACTTTATTGTTTGGGTAAGCAATGTGAATCAAACCATATGCTGCTGCACACACTTTTTCCTTCTGAACTAGTGCAAGACTGTCTTAGAGGCCAGGTGATATTTTTAAGGATGTGAGAGTGATGCTGCCTATGCACCACCATGAGAGAAAGCTCATGAAACAGAAAAGAAGGGAAGGGGAGGAATGAGGATAGAGAGAAAGAGGCTAAAAAGGAAAGGGAGGGTGAGAAAGGGAAAAGGAAGGTAAGAAAGGAAAAGAGGAGTAAATAAGGGAGAGACTATCTTAAGTCTCAAATTTTCTTTGTTACAATAACACTACTGCTCTATGAACCTGATGGACATTCATTTTGCCAAATGGAGATTGCAATAAATAAAATTATTGAATGATAACCAAACCAAATAAATGGAATAGAATGTAAAAATTAAAACTTGATTGAATATTTAGTTAACTCTTGAAAAGATGGTTCATCCATGACTGCATCAAAGTGTTCATGCATGCCTCTGTCATCCAGGGCAAGTGCATTGAATGTGTTTCCACAATCCTTTGCACTTCTGGATCTGCTGGTCAGTCACTGTTGGTCTTGTCATGTACTTCTCTCTCACCAAATGTTTAAGAGTATTACATGGAGTCTAGCCTCATTGCTGTTTTAAGAGATTTTATCCTTGAGTTTATTGTATCATTGATAATCGTTTGCAGTTGTCAAATTCAGATGTGGATATTCATTTTATTGACTTTAGGTTAAGTTGGTGATAACAATTTTCTGTTATGCATGATTGCACAGGCTGCTAGAGTATTTGAGAGCCAATTGGCAGAATCCATACTGGAAGGTGATGGCCAACTTGCATTCAAAAAGCTTGCAACGGCAACGCTTGAGACACTGATGCCAAGGATTGAAGGAAAGGGAGAGTTTGGTCAGGCTAGGTGGAGGCTAGTGTATGCCCCACAAATCCCTAGTTTGCTCTCTGTTGATCCTACAGTGGATCCTCTCAAGTCTCTGGCCAGTAATATATCATTTGGTACAGAAGTTGAAGTTCAACTTGGGAAACGTCTTCAGGTGATCTTAATTCTATTTATCCTGTTTTCAAGTTTTCACTTCATATGTTCCGTAAAAGCAAAAGAAATTGAAACTCTGGAAATTGGTTTGGGTTTGCAAACTCTTCTGATTGTTCGGATATGGCTTGACGTTGCTGAAATATTTTCTGTCAAATTTGAATTAATAATTTGTAGTTCTGTTCATAATATTCTTCACTATTTTTAAGGCATTCATCTCTTGTTATTCGTTAGGCCTCCATAGTAAGGCAGATGAAAGACTCAGAGATGGCGATGCAGTGGACCTTAATCTACCAACTTACAAGCCGCTTGCGAGTGCTCCTACAGTCCGCTCCTTCCAAACGCCTCCTCTTCGAATATTCTGCTACATCACAAGACTAGCCTCTTATTTGCAGTTTTGCACTCTTCAAGCTTAAACTTGCGTTTACACAGTCAGCTTTTGCTGGAATACCATCTCCAATTAGTCGCCTTCAGGTTGAAATTATGGTTTTTTCACAAGAAACGGTTCCTTTTCTCCTTGCTAATGCAACCTCGCTAGCCTCGAAGGTAAAAGCTGCAGGAGAGAGGAAAAGGGTTAAGATTTCTACAAATGTATATTATTCTTTGCTCAGAAATGAATGAGCTTGTTTATATGTTAGGATGCTTCTGTTTTAACATCAAAATTCAAAGGAAATCAATGGTAGTCATGCAATTTTTTTACCAATGTTGGTTAAACAATCTCAACATTTTCCGGAAAATAATATGATGGTCACGAAATGTTTGAATTCATATCGAACTCTTCTCTCTTCAACTTTTCCATTGAATTCAAATTTTCCTTTCAAAAGTTGAAAATATACCATTGTTTAGAAATGGATAAAATTTACATTCTTAAATAATAAAATGATGAAATTAATATATTTATTTGCACTTTTTTTCTATTCATGATGTGCATATGCCATACTTTTAAAAAGGATCCTTTTTCTGCAAAAGTTGAAACAAAATAAAGTATAATTTTTTTTAAAAGTGTTTTACTTTACTTTATTTAGAAGAAAGGAAGAAAAATATTTATCAAATTTAATTTGTTAGTAGACAAAAATACAATAAAAAATTACGTTTTCAAAGACTAACTATAGTTTCTTTTTAAGATAAGAATAATATATTTTATTAAAATGATATAATTTTAAAATAAATAATAATAAACAATATCAAAATTTGAGGTTAAAATTTATAATCAATGATGTAACTTATATTATATTTTTTAAAATATTAAAAAAATATTATTTAATAAATGATTTTTTTTTAATTTGTGATATTGTATATATCAACTAATTTAATAATATTATTAGTCTTAAATTTTTATTCTAAATTTTTATCTCTCTATCATTACTTTTTTAAAATATATTTTTAAGTCCAAAGATCCAAATTGATAAACAACAATCTCTTTATGAAGACCAGGAATGTGGTCTCGAACTGGCGACCTCTGCATTATTTGGATAATGCTTTAACGAACTAAACGAATAGACCATATCGGGTACACATGAAAAGTTTTAACAATGAGTAATATGGGAATTGGATATTATTGCCCCCAATATTATATGAGATTAATGTGATATAGTTTAGATTGTATATTAAAAATATAATTATTTAATAAATTTATTAAATATTGTTAATAAAATAAATAAAAATTAAGTTTGTTAAAAATATTTTAATAAATTTATAGTAAAAATGACACTTTTAATATAAGTTAAAATACTAATTTGGCCTCTCAACTTTTAAATTTGTATCAAAATTGTTTCTTAACTTTATAAAATACCAAAATTATCCCTAAACTTTTTTTTCAACATCAAAATAGTCCTTGAACTTTAAAATTAAATACCAACTTGGTCTTTAAATTTTAAAAATAAATACCAACTTAGTCCTTAAATTTTGATTATAAATACTAATTTGGTCTTTCAACTTTAATTATATTTTAATCTGATATATAAATGAAAATATATCACGATAATAAAATATAATTTTTAATTTTACAAATTATTAGTATTTTAAAAAGGTATTGATTTTATAGCAAAATAATGAATTATGTTACATTTCTATTAAAGAAATGATTATTTTAGTATAAAAAAATTAAAGTTTAAAGAAATTTTAGTATTTTTTGAAGTGAAAGGTTAATTTTAATATAAATCCAAAAGTTGAGGGGTCAAATTGGAATTTTAACCTTTAATATACAGTAGAATACATGCGCCATTAGCAAAAAGAATAGAAGACGAAAAAATAAAAAGAGGGGCCATTTAGAGAGGGAAACCAGAGGCGCTAAAACATGGAGGCCACCTCCATTTCTGTAGATGCAGTGCTTGAAACCCTAAGGAGCAGAGGCTGGTGTTTTGGCGACTTAGACGAAGTTAACGCTCTCATACAATTGCAATCCGCTTTGGCCGATGATGTGGAAACCAGTAAGGTCGCGGATTCGGTCGAATCGGAGCTGCTTAACATGGACCTTAGATCGATCGGAGGCAAGTCCTTGCCTGAACCCAATCTCCTCCTCCGGAAGTCATCTCATCTTCAAGGCCCCAAAGTCCTCCAGGTTCTCCTTTTCTCCGATTCTATGTTTCCTCTGTTTGGTTCCTGAATAAATGTTCTAACAGTAGAATTGTATTTGTTTGAACTTAATTCTTTTTCTCAAACTTTGAAATGTGCTGTTGAAGTCGACTTAGTGAAACTATTCAGTTTCTTTAGCCAAGATTCCAGATTTTGTTTGGTTGCTCAGAAAATCAGTGGAGAAAAAAAATTGCAATCAGTAGTTAACTAGAGAAAATAATGAATAAACTGAGAATAGTTTACTGGGTTGGATTTTGAAGACACAGTTTTCTATTAGCTGGATGGGTTCCAATAGGCCTTTGAGCATTATAATTCATAAATAATAATATGAAACAAATACTCAGACTAGTATTTTCTTCAATGGAATTATGTTTTCTTCACAGACGTAGTATTGTTCTTCTGTTCTTTTAATTTTCTTCAATAATCAAATTTTATGTCATAAAATTTTGGGTGTTTGATCTTCTTTGAACAGATATCATCAGTGAGAGACATATCAAGAAGCAGCACGGAGGAGTTTTCAGGAAATTCAAGGGCACACCGTTTGCTAAGATTTTGTCTTACAGATGGACAAACTGAGATAACTGCAATAGAGTTCCACCACATAGCATCAATTCCTAATGATATTGTTCCTGGTACAAAGGTATGTTCATGTTTTCAGTTCCTCACTTTCTCCAAGGTTGCTAGGAGTTTTGATTATATTTTAATTTTTACCTCACTATCTTTTGGGCCAAACCGACTGGGTAATTATTAATGTGTAATTGTATGTCTTTGACCATAAACTATCAAGTTGCAGTACCTCATATTATAATGGAAAACCACATTAGTATTGTAGGATGTTTGGGGTTATATTATTTCCTTTAGAAAACATGTTTAGAGCTACTAATGAAGAAGTGCTTAAAGCTACTCATCATTGCAAGCCTTTAATATTTTACTGCAAGGATTATGTTGACCTTTTTTTTTTTTTT